ACCTGGGGGTGTGTGCTACATGATCTTCCCTTGCACCATCACAGTCTCGGGGACCAGAGAGGGATTTGGCTCAGTTCCTATGTAGCACCAGTCCTATTAAGCTATATTAAAAACAATCTCTTTGGGCTTTCATCTTGGTACCTGGGCTTCTCAGGGTTTCTCCCTTGCGCTGGTAGCAACATTTGGTCTGGAATCCTGCTTCCAGGGTTGCCATAGCTAGAACTCCTGGGTTCAGGGACTGTACTGTCCATGCTTAGAATTGAAAAGAGCAAATGAAACCCCCAAATGGCAACTCTGTATCTCAGGGACATAGGGCCTAGAGGGAAGGAGGTAAATAACCCTCCCCACTGCCCACCCATGCTACAGGTAAACGGAACCTTTACCCCCTGGACTGCAGAAAAGAGAGTGAGACTAAGGAAGTTTCAGTTTTAAAGATGAAGCCTGTTTGGTTATGGCAGCCAGTGTAAAGAGGCTGCTTCTCCCCATGTGATAGGAGAACACAGGACTCTTCTTCCAGAAGCTGGTGCCTGGCATCCTTCCCATGAGTACCTCCATCTTGGGGAATCTGGGCATGTGTCATAGCCCCATTACATGTAATTATATGATTATGTTGTATTTGTCTGTGTAAATGTTGGGACCTCCCAGTAAAATATAAACTCCCACGAGACAAAGGCTGTTTCATATTTTGTATTTGTGTCACCAGCAGCTGGGCTCATGGTAGACACAATGCTTATTCAGTGAATGAAAAGTAACAGACGGCAGAAGAGAGATCACTGGCAAAGTAGGGAGATATAAACTCTAGTCCTGATTCTGCCATTAATATGCTTTGTGACCTTGGGCAAATCATTTATCCTCCCTGAACCTTAGTTTCCTCGCATGAAAAAGGAAAGAATGTTCTTCAAGATTTCTTTCAAATCTTTACAGCCTCTGATAAAGTCCTCTTTATCTCTCTGATAAAGTATCTCTGATAAAGGCCTCATTTCTAAAATATATAAAGAACTGATGTGAATTTATAAGAATACAAGTCATTTCTCAATTGATAAATGGTCAAAGGATATGAATAGGCAGTTTTCAGAGGAAGAAATTAAAGCTATCTATAGTCATAAGAAAAAATACTCTAAATTAGATTGACTCTGAGGTACCACTTCACACCTATGAGATTGACTAACATGACAAAACAGGAAAATGATAAATGTTGGAGAAGATGTGGGAAATTGGAACACTAATGCATTGTTGGTAGAGTTGTGAACTGATCCAACCATTCTGGAGAGCAATTTGGAACTATGCCCAAAGGGCTATAAAACTGTGCATATCCTTTGACCCAGCATTACCACCTCTAGATCTGTATCCCAAAGAGATCATAAAAATGGGAAAAGGACCCACATGTACAAAAATATTTATAGCAGCTCTTTTTGTGGTGGCAAAGAATTGGAAAGTGAAAGGATGCCCATCAATTGGGGAATGGCTGAAGGTTGTGGTATATGAATGTAATGGAATACTATTGTGCTGTAAGAAATGATGAGCAGAGAGACTTTAGAAAAACCTGGAAAGACTTATATGAACTGATGCTAAGTGAAATGAACAGAACCAGAACATTGTACACAGTGATAGCCACATTATGTGATGACTGACTTTGATAGACTTCCTCAGGGTGAGAGTTCCTAGTGCAAAGACTTCCAAACTCCTCCAGGGTCCCAATTAGCATGAAATCCTTTGATCTTGTGATCCTAGCTGAGAATGTGGGGAGAGGGCTGTGGTAGAAGGAGGGAAAGGGTATGCTGAAGGAAAATAGAATGAAGGGATTAGAGATTAAGCATATCCAGCATCCCCTTCCCTCATTGCATAAATCCTAGAAGGAATTCTCAAGGCATAGCTGTAACTAATTTTTTTTTACTCTTATGATAGAAATTCATGATAAAGAGAAACTGAGGCAACAAATTTCTGAGCATGATCCATTTATTAGTAAAGCTAATGATTGCCAACAAACAGGGTCCAAGGCTTCTTGGTAACCAAGGACACACCTAACAGTCAAGATGGCTCTTTTATAGTCATACAAAGGAACCCCAAAATAGTGACATCAATCTGGCATAACAAAGGTTACTAACCACAAGTTCCACCAATTTATCATAACGTGGCCTAACATCCTCTGGAAAGTCCAGTGGTTGGCAATCTCTGAGAGAGAACAGGGAGCTTGTGATTTACATGTTATTGATTTCTGATACATTAGAATATTGATTAGAATTTTGTATCTGGAAAGTCCTGAGGAGGGGAACTTAATACGTGGAGGGTGTCTAAATAGGGAACTAATAGTTCAAGCTTAAGCAGGTCAGAGGGAGTTCAAGTTCACATACTAAGGAAAAGTGATTAATATATAACAACTTGACCATTAATACATAGTAAATTGATTAAGCCTTAATGAAATAAAGTAGTATATCAAATTTAAATATCCTCTTCAGTGGGTCACTTACATAAATAATTATCTAAGGTATAAATTGAAGTGAAAATCATCAGTATCTAATGAACCCTGTATAATGCCATGTATCATTCTATCAGTTTGTTAAAGGTAAAGCAGCAATTATAAAATCAAGAAGGTTGAGTTAAATCTACATTTACAAAGCCACTTAATAAAATAATTATGAGGCCTAAAACAAAGAAAGCATATTTAACTAGAGTAGCTAGTATGCCTTTTCCAAGAGAATAACCAAGAAAACCAGGAAAAGGGGTCCCACCATAGAGTATCATCATTACGCAATTGGATTTCTGCCATAGCCTGTTGGAGTATCTGGAAACTTGTTGCAATTTCTCCTGATATCCATTAACATAGGAACAACAGGATCGATTGATCATGGCACGAGATCTTCCTTGTGAAGCTGTTAAGGAGTGGATGGATTCACTTGTGGCCTAGGCTAACTTCTCAGTCACAAGTGAGAGATTTCTAGCTGCCTACTCCAATGCAGAGATATAGATAGATACAGAGATAGATAGATCAATAGATCAATAGATAGATGGATGGATGGATGGATGGATGGATGGGTGGATGTATAAATAGAGAGACAGATGTGTATGTATATATGAACATATGTGTATATGTGAGTGTGTTTGTGTAAATATGGATCAGAGGACCTTTATCCACTTTCTGTGTTCTTTTACGTGGTTACTGATGTAGGTCCTTACTTTCTTGCTTTTGACATTGGTGCCACCATGTACTAATTTTAGAGGGGATATTAACATATCACCAAGAAAACTCAGGAAATATAAACACCATGAATCAAAAAGGCCAAAACAATAGAATAGTGAAAAGTCCTGTGTTAAGTTGTGAGAGTACAAAACAGTTCTTGCTCACAGAGAGCTCACAATCTAATAGGGGAGATAACACATATGGAAATTCTAATATGTTAATTCCCCCTGCAAACTGGCAACCCACTCCCAACGTCCATTTAAGTGGTACATTTTCATTTTGACTCCCAGATGTCCCAGGCTGGTCAGCAATACTTGGAATGGGCCTTCCCAGGAAGATTGAGTCTGCTGGAAGTTCTTGATTTAGACTGTCACTGGGATGGAGGGGCAGCTAGGTGGCACAATTGTTAGAGTGTCAGGCCTGAAGTCAGGAAGACTCATCTTCTTAAGTTCAAATCTGGCCTTAGACGCTTACTAGCTATGTGACCCTGGGCAAGTCACTTAACCCTGTTTGCCTCAATTTCCTCATCTGTAAAATGAACTGGAGAAGGAAATGGCAAACCACTCCAGTATCCCTGCCAAGAAAACCTCCAATAGGGGTCACAAAGAATCTGAAATGACTGAACAACAACAACAACAATTTTTATAATTTTCAGAAGTGGTAGATAAATAGTCCTAGACAAAACTTACCCTTTCTACTATTAGCTAAATTTGTAAATTTCCCCACTTTGGCTGAGAGAGGTCCTAGTTCCTTAAACTGCAGCACTTCAGAGTTTCATAACTCACTGTCGGTGAGGCTGACCAGATCTTATGACCTCACCCAAGTAAGAAGTCCCTAACAGACAAGGATAGCCCAAGAGCATTTGGACACTTTCTCCCAAAAGTAAGTCATTACTATTATTATTTTCCAATTTAAAGCAAAATATACCTCGTTAAATATTTATCAGTTTTCAAACATCTTAACCACATTCTTTCAACAGTTCAATTTAGAATCTAACAGCAGCTGAATTAAAAGGAGAAGTTACTGTTTTAACAGTGTGTCTGATACGACGTTTCCCCAAATATTTACTATATAAGAAAAGTTGCACATGTATTTTAAACATGAAACAAAACTTATTACCAGTTATTAATGGAGTTGAATGCACTTCCACATCTTACATAGAAAATCACTTTTGGTATTCTATATTGGTTGTATATATTCTATATTCTATATTGATTGTATTCAAGAACATTAACATTCATATAGTGCTTACAACCTGATAGGCCTTTTCGGGTGTTCTAAGTTTAATTTATAGAGTTTCAGATCCTGCTTTCTGTAATACCTTAAAATGTTTGTTTTGGGATTTCTCAGTTGTTATTTGAATTTCTTAAATATATCAGCATAACAGTTTTCTAGTGTATAATCACAGGGCAGTTCAGTAGTAAGACTGAAGTTTTTCCCTTTATGAGGACACCTGTCTTGAAAGGTTAAATGATAACGGCACAGCGCCAATTTAGAATAGCATTCTCTAAGTGGCAGAGAATTACCAAAGAAATATTTTGTCCAATTTAATTCTTACAAGGGGTGGATATTGTATTGCTCATTTTCTGAGTAAGTTAGACAATTATGTGTTAAGTACTTCACAATTATTTGGTCCTATCAACAACCCTGGGGGGTAGGTCCTATTATTATTAACTCCTTTCTAGATTAGCAAAGGAGATCTGTATTAAATTCTAATTGAGTATAATATCTGTAATAGTAGAGCATATCTCATTGCAAATGAGGTCACCAAAATGAAATCTGGGGTTTACAATCTTAAAGAGCAATATTTAGAACCTCAATTTCCCCAAGGGCTATTTACTGTTAATATTTCCAATTTCAGGGCCAACTTTTTTAGTGAGCTCATGAACCAAACCATTTCATTTTGCTTTCTTAATTTAGCCAGTCTTGATATCTTAAGGGGGTGGGGTGGGGGGGGAGAGGTATGGAGACTTAAAATGCAGGTCTTATATTTTCCCCAGTGCATCTATTCTCATCTGTAATTTTTTGAAACCCTCAGTACACCCAAATAATTTTATGCTGTGAGTTTTACTTCCAAGAGTTTTCATTTGGTAATCTTTAAAATTTTGACAGCAATTTCTCTAAAACTTTCTCAAATCCTTATTTATCTCAGTGGGGTCAAAACCCTTCCCCAAATCTCCTATTTCAAAACTACAAAAACCCTTCACACTCAGATCCTTCATTCATTCTCAACATAGACAGACTATGACTTTATTTAGTTTTTCTACCCTTTCTTCTCTTGTCCCTACTGGCTCAAACTTTCTTTCTTCCTTTCTTTTTTTGATCCCTCCAGGGGACATTGATTAAAACTCTTCAAAATTTCATCTTTCTTTTGTCTTTACATATGATGACCCAGCACTTCTCTTACTTTCTTTTTCTTGCTTAATTCTTTTAGTTTCTATTTCCAAATCATATCCTGCAGGGGTGGGAAACCTGCATCCTCGAGGCCACATATGGCACTCTATGTTCTCAGGTGCGGCCTTTTGACTGAGTCCAAATTTTACCGAACAAATCCTTTTATTAAGGAAATTTGTTCTGTGAAGTTTGAATTCAGTGAAAGGGCTGCACTTGAGAATGTAGAGGGCCACATGTGGCCTCAAGGCCGGAGGTTCCCCACCCCTGTGACCTAGACGATCTACAGAACTCATCTTCACTCCTCTGTACCTTTACCTTTACAATTTAGTGCAAGTTATTAGTTGCAAGACTGCCTTTGGAGTTCTAAAAGCTTAGGATGTACTCTAACACCTTTTGATGCCTTTGCTTCTAGATTTTGGAAACAACTAAATATTTTGTTTGTTTGTTGTTCAGTTGTTTCAGTTGTGTCTGACTCTTTGTGACCCCTTTTGGGGTTTCCTTGGCAGAGATACTGGAGTGGGTTTGCCATTTCCTTCTCTAGTTCATTTAACAGGTGAGGAAACTGAGGCAAACAGGGTTAAGTGATTTACCTAGGGTCACACAGCAACTTTGGGCAATGAGGTGGCACAGTAGAGAGTGCCAGGCCTGGGATTCAAATCTGGCCTCAAACACTGACTAGCTGTGTGACCCTGGGCAAGTCACTTCACCTTTTTTGTCTCAGTTTCCTCATCTGTAAAATGAGCTGGAGAAGGAAATAACAAACCGTTCCAGTATCTTTGCCAAGAAAACCCTAAGTAGGGTCATCAAGAGTTCAACATGACTGAAATGACTAAACAACAGCAGAAGCAAGAAGTTTGGTTATGACTTAATTGTTTAGGCAAGCCAGAAGCAGATACCATGATAAAACAGACATCATTTCAAATTAAATTGTACTTACTTTTAAATTGCTTCCTGATTTAGACAAGCTTTTCTTGGCTGGGAAATAGTAGAAATAAGCTGGAGAACAGGAACCCCAACTTATTTCTTTCCCCTCGAAATGTAGGCACAGTGCTTAGTAGCTGCCAAATGGTTAGATTGAATGGATGTTAGTAACAGTGGATTGGCTTATATGCATGGACTGTGGAGTTCAGCCTTTCAGAGAATTTTTCCTAACTCCCCATTCCGTTAATCAGTCTGTATCCAAATCTAAACTATAATAATAGAATACAAACAAGATACACAAAGGGATCTGTGATTTCTGCATTGTGGGAAATCCCACCATATCCCCAATCGTAACTTAGATAAATCATAAGGAGGGGCCTGTGACTCAGGGAGCTTAAGAGACATGACTTGAGTTAGAGAGTTAGTAAGTGAAATTTGAACAGAAATCCTGCTGCTCAGAAAATACCCTCTCCACTACCCCACTGTCACTATCATAATAATGGTATTTACAGTGTAAATTAATTACATTTACAGTGTAAAAGACTGAAAGCGCTCCTACAGCCTTCATCTCATTTAGTCTTCACAGCAATCCTGGTAAGTGGTACTGTTATCCCATTTTACAGATCAGGAAACGGAAGCTTATAAAAATAACATGATTTAAGGCCAAATAGCTAGAAAGTGGAATAACATTTATAGACTTTAAGATATATTTATATATATGTATATACACCTATGTGTATATGTGCATATATATACAAATACATACAGATTTATATTATAGTATGTATTATATTAGATGTTATGTTGTATTGGTACATTACATCATATTACATTGTTACTTTGTGTTATACCATGTCATATTATGTCAAGTTATACATATTAGGTTGTGTATTATATTGTATTGCATATCACATCATATCATAGGCTGGATTTGACTCCCAACTATCAGTTCCTGGTCTAGCGCTCCTTCTCCTAAGCCACCCAGCTTCTAATGAATAACTTAATAATGCTCTTCTTTGGATTTTTTTCTTTGTAAAAGAGTTTTACAGATGTCTCTGGTTTTCTATTTCACAATAATTTCCACTACAATCTCCACCATTACTACAACACATACACACACACACACACACACACACACACACAACCTTCTAACTGAGAAAAACAGATGAGCAAAACCAAGAGACACTGACTGCGTTTAACCCTGTATGCAGCATCCCCAACCAGAGTCCTCTACCTCCACTGAGAAGGGGTTTGATCTCCCATCCACTGGAACCAAGGTTGGTCATTACCCCTAAGCTTAGTTGAGTGTCCTCATCTGTGAAATGAGGAATCTAAATAAGATGACCCCTGAGTTCCCTTCCAAACTATGGCCCCTATTTGACACAGAACAGAATACAGAAATCTAAGATAAGGATCTGGGAGTGAGAAGGGGGCACTTAGAAGGACTGGGGGCATTACATAGCTATATGTTAAATAGTAGTAATAATAACAGCAGCTAACATTTATGTAGTACTTTGAGGTGTGTACTTTGCATATGTTATTTCATCAAATAAACATTATATGTGGAACAAGATTCTTATTAGTAACTGCTATTTCTGGATCACCAGTGCAGGCACTCATTGGAATAGCAGTAACTCCCTTCTGCATGTTCTAAGGATGATGAAAGTCGTTTTTGCCCTACTCTGACCATGATGCCCCCTGCAGGGGATTGGTTAAAGATGAGGAAACCGAAAACATACTTTGTTTCCCTCTTTGAGACATGTTTCCCAAACCCATCTCCTGAAGAAAGCTGTCTCCCATCCAACTCCCTCCCATCCCACCCCCCTCAATCAGAATGTTAATAGAGTATACGCTCCTTGAGGACAAGCCAGAATCATTCCTTTTATGTCTTGTATCCCCAGTGCCTAGCACAATGCCCAGCACATAGTTGGTGTTAAATAAGTGTGTTATTGGGGGCAGTGAGGTGGCACAGTAGAGACATGAAGACATCTTCCTGAGTTTAAATCTGACCTCAGACACTTACTAGCTGTTTGACCCTGAGCAAGTCACTTAACCTTATTTGCCTCAGTTTCCTCATCTGTAAAATGAGCTGGAGAAGGACATGGCAAACCACTCCAGTATCTTTGCCAAGGTAACCCCATTGAGGTCATGAAGAGTCAGACACAACTGTAAACAACTGAACAACAACAAAGTGCTTTGTTGACCCAATGACTGACTTCGCCTGGAAAAGTTGTGGACTATACAGTATGACTCTTCCAGAGATGGGCCATAAAGATTCCCGCCCTGGGCTTATGCATTAATAATAATAACAGCTAGCATTTGTATAACGTTGTGGGTTTTTTAAGACTAGGTTTCCCTATCTCTTACAGATTAGAAGAGCAGGAACCACTCGTGGGTAGAATCCCCACTCATTATTTTGGGAACTTTGACCTGCTCCTTTTCTGACCTGGGCCATTTTGCCCTTCTTTGACAATGTGGTAGTGCCTCATTTCCAAGGGCTCACCACATTCATGCCAAATTTAGTTCAAACATCTAATAGGTTTAGCCCACTGCAGCTTGGAACTCCTGAGCTAAAGAGATCCTCCCTGGCAGCAGGGATTCCAGGTGCTGGCCACCATAACATAATCAAGATTGTTAAAAAGATTTGCAAAGTGCTTTCTCCATGTCTGATTTGGAGTCAGAGGACCTCCGTTCAAATCCCAGCTCTGCCACGTATAATCATTGTGATCTTGGGCAAGTGATCACTTAACCTCTCTGACTTGGTGGCCCCACCTGTAAAATGAGGGAGTTGGGCTAGATGGTCTCTGAGATCTTTTCTAACTCCAAACCCGGAATCCTGATTGCTCCAATGTCAGAGGTGATGGGAACACTTGTATTGACCTGTTTCCTTTTCCATGTTTGGCCTTGTTGTATACAGTTTAAAATATGCAAAATTTGCAAAAATTTGCAAAATATGCAAAAATATGCAAATATTTAATACTAAAAAAACTAAGTTTGTTAAGTAATGTGGAATCTCCAAAACATACTTCTTCCTGACCCCCCCCAATTCCTTACATTTCCTTCAGCAGGCTTCCTGATTAGCCCAAAGGGAACAGCAGATCTTAGAATGGGTGAATTGACCCAGGGCCCAGGTGGGGGATTTGCAAAATCATCCAAGGGTATCCTGGTGTGGAAAACGACATTCTTAGCTGAGGCCCTTAAGAGGGCATGAAGGTCCAGCTAAGCCTGGGAAACTTTAGCTAAGGATTAGGTTAGGAAACTTCATGCTACTCCATCTCAGACTGAATAGATTTCTGTTATATAGATTACCATTTCCATTATCCTGCTGTATTATTTCTAATTTTGCATATTCTTTTTCTCCTTTTTATAGTTCAATATCACTCCTCTTTTTCCCTGCCAAGTCCCTAAAAGAAATCATTTCTATCATTGCCTAAGCTTCTGCCCCTCCTACTCAATTTTCACCTCCTTTCAATCTGGCTTTCAGCCCATCAATGAATTGAAACTGCAATTGCCAAGGTTTTAAGTGATCTCTTAGCTGATAAAGCCAATGGCCTTTTCCAGTCCCCATCCTCTTTGACCTTCTGGTAGCTTTCCAGGCTGCTGAGCACTCCCTCCTGCATATTCTCTCCTTGCTTGGCTTCCCTAGCACTGCTCCCTCCTGGTTCTCGTCCTACAGGTATGACTCCTTTTTTTTTTTTTTTTTTGGTGAGGCAATCGGGGTTAAGTGACTTGCCCAAGGTCACACAGCTACTATATGTGAAGTGTTTAGTCTGAGGCCAGATTTGAATGACTCCTTTTTAAGTCTCTTTTGCTATACATAATCTATCTCCTGACCTCTAACTTTGGAGGTCCTCTAAGGCTCAGTCCTGCCCTCTTCACTCTGCCTCAGTGAACTCATCAGTTCCCATGGGGTTCAACTTTCATTCCTATGCAGATGACTTATAGATCTATATGTTATTGTTGTTCAGTTGCTTTCAGTCATGTCCAATTCTCCATGACCCTATTTGGGGTTTTCTTGGCAAAGATACTAGAGTAGTTTATTATTTCCTTCTCCAGCTCATTTTACAGATGAGGAAACTGAGGCAAACAGGGTTAAGTGACTTGCCCAGGGTCATACAGCTACTAAGTGCTTGAGTTCACATTTGAACTCAGGTCTTCCTGACTCCAGACCCAGTGTTCCATCCACTTCACCACCTACCTGCGCCAAAATTTATATATTCAGCACTAATTGCTCTCCTGAACTCTGGTACCACATTATCAACCACCTGTTGGACATCTCCACCTGACTGTCCCAGAGGGATGTCAAATTTATCATGTCTGAAACAGAACTCTACATTCCCTCCCGATTCCATACCTCTATCAGACTTCACTGTTTCTCTTGGGGTAGTGACAATCTTTCTATGACCTGGTTTCACATCAGAATCACTTTTGATTCTTTCCTCTTTCTTATCCCCATATAGCTAATCTGTTGCTAGTCTTCTTGGGACTCCCTGTATAATAGCTCTGGCATGTGTCTGAACTCTCTCCACTCAAAGAGATTCTACTCTAGTTCTGGTCTTTACCTCCTATTGTCTAGAATTCAGAGGTGGGGAACCTGGAGGCTACATATGCACCTTCTAGGCCCTCAAGTGAAGCCTTTTGACTGACTCCAAACTTCACACAACAAATCCCCTTAATAAAAGGGGAATAATAAATTAATAAATAAAGGATCCTTTTATTAAGGGGATTTGTTCCGTGAGGTTTGGAGTCAGTCAAAGGGCCACATTTGAGGACCTAGAGGGCCACATGTGGCCTCAAGGCTGCAAGTTCTCTACCCCTGGAGATGATTGCCTTAGCCTCCTAAGTAGTCATCCTGCCTTCAGGCTCTTCCTAATTTGATCCATCTTCTACAGAACTGCCAAACTGATCATCCTCAAACATCACCTAGTAGTGCCTCTTCCATAGTAGGAAAACCTCAGTGCCTCCCTATTGCTTTAAGGTAAAAGACAAAACCCTCTGCCTAGCCTTTAATGCCATTACGACTGTGTTTTCCATCTACCTTTCCAGGCTCGCTTCACATTATTACTGTTCATGCATTCTCCTTTACAGCCATGCCAGCTTACTGCCCTATACATGAAATTCTCCCCCTTGTCAGGTGGCCCTCAGAGCTTGAAATGCTTTTCCTCTTCACCTCCATCTGTTAGAGCCTCTAGCTTCCTTCAAAGCATAGTCCAGATGCCACCTCCTTACACAAGGCCATTCCTGAGCCCTCCAGCTATTGGTGATCTGTCCTTCCTAAAGTTATTTACTTGGTTTACGCTTTGTATTTGCTTGTCTGTGTACATGTTGTATCCTCCAGAAGACCATAATCTCCTTTTGGGCAGACACCTTCTTCTTTTTTTCATCCATAGTTTCTAGCACAGTAACCTGGCAGATAGCATGATAAATGTTTGAATTTAATTGAATTAAATGAGCCCTTCTCACAAGGAATTCTACAACCCAGTTAAGGAATCATTTTCTCTGGCTGTCCCCCATGCCTGGAATGTTCTCCTTTACTCTGACTACTGACCTCCCTGGTTTCCTCTAAGTCCAAACTAAAATTCTACAGGAAATCT